CACAAAGAGAGCTGATCAGCGGCTGTCTCCCCTAACACAGGCTAGAGACCAGCCCCCCAGCTTTCCAGGAACAAGATTTTATAACACAAAAAGTTGCAAAGGAGAGTGTCTTGAGAACTTAGAGCTGACAGGATTTTGACAAGCATAATACAAAGGCAGGTAGCAGGTTAATGATCTAGATGGCATGATATTTCAAGGTAGGGAGTAAATTCAGATCCCAACATCAAAATTTATGAGGTACCACTGAGGTTTCAGAGAGGGTTGTTATCTGGTCGGGGGAGCCAGGATTTATGAGGCATCACTAAGGTTTTGGAGAGGGTTGTTATCTGGTCAGGGAAGCCAGGCATGGGTGAGCTCAAGACAAGGGCAGGAATTTCAAACAAGTTTAGAAATCACAGTAATTTATAGTAAAACAGAAATTAACTTTTCATGACTTTGAGATGACATGGCTCCCAATCTTGAGATGGAATTAGGCTGGGTTCATCATTACACTGTTGGGCCTGCCTATATACACACACACACTCCCCCCGCCCCCCCCTTATTGTTTCCCACTCAACCTTTGCAGTTGTTTCTGACTTCATCTCCCTCCCCTGTTTCTCCACACAGCAGCCACACAGAGTCTTGAAAAATACAAAACGATCCTTTTTCTCCGAGAATGCTTGTCACGATGGGTAAAAGATGCAGTTCAGGGGGAGAAGTAAAGAATGTCCATGTGCTTCTGCCCCTTCCAATCAATGCTTTATTCACTCAAATCACTCAATACAATTTCACTGTCAAGGAAACGACAATCCTTAATGCTAGGCACTGCAATAGGATAATCTGTTCACAGCAAACAATTCTAGATTAACTTAAGCACTGCAAACACACTTTTTTAAAAATATTTTTTTAATATTTATTTTTCAGTTTTCGGTGGACACAACATCTTTATTTTTTTATTTTATGTGGTGCTGAGGATCAAACCCAGCACCCCGCGCATGCCAGGCAAGCGCGTTACCACTTGAGCCACATACCCAGCGCAAACACACTTAATCATGAGCTCTTGACAAACATTTCCTCTGCCCGCTAAGCTCAAGTGTCAGATCAAAAGTCTCAAGCCTTAGGCTCCAAGTCCACAGAAGCACACTCACTCAGACCCCGTGATCAGGTCAGGAACCAAGGCAGGCTTCTCCTGGGGTGGAGCTGATGGCTGGCAGAGGAGAGGGTCGTAGGGGGAAGTTGTGGTTCTCCCTAGGGTCAAGATGTGGCTGGAGGGTTTGAGAGCGGTGAGGAAGACGCAGAGGATCAGCAAACAAGGAGAAGAGCTGGGATGTCAGCCCAGGTCCTCACCAGGCTCTCAAGTGTGAGGGCATCAGTGTCAGCTGGCTGAGTGTCTGTTCATTTGCTTTAATATTTATACTAACCTTTGGGGCTTTTGACTCCCCTTTCAATCATTATCAGGTACTGAGAAACTGATGTGACTCCATTTTTGAGAAACCAACCTCTACCTCAGAGCAAAGCCAGTCGAAAGAAGGGGGCGTGACCCTTGTCCTTGGAAAGACCCACAGAGCACTCCTAGGCACATACCCACCCTGCTGAGTTGTTTATCTACAAATAACTGGAGAGATCTGCTGCGCCAGCCCCAAGGCTGGCCCTGAGGGGATCTGATTTGTCCCCCCTGCTGGTTCACTGGCTAGGTGAGGACCCATAGCAACCCCCTAGCAACCATCAATCAGCATGAGACAGGGAAAATACCTGGGATGCTAAATGACCCCCCAGTAGTTTATGGTGGTTGATAACACGTTGGGAAACCATATAGTTTAGCACGTACACCCCTCATGGCTTAAACCAATCAGTTCAAAGGAATCCCCCTCTTGTACTAACCAATCACCCCTACCCAACTTGTTCCCGCCAGTGAATGTGCTAATCAAAGTTAAGAGTTGTTGCTTGATTTTCCTGCGGTGTGAAATGATTTGCTGTGTGATGTTGTGATGCAAAAAAACCTATAAAATCTCTCTGAACAAAGGACCAGGACTCACTCCCTGGGACCGCTGCTTGAAATGGTCGTGAGTCCAGGCTGGAGCTCGCAATGAAGACTCTTGCGTGATCGCATCTGATTCGGCTCCTGGAGGTCTATTGGGGTCCCAGGAATCTGGCATTACACTGCCACCGGTCTCTCAGTGACATCATTTACCCTGGGGCTAAAACATCTGGTCTGGTGGCCCCACCCTGATCTTTTTGCCTTTCCCCCCTTATCTGGGGGGATGACAGTCTGGCAGAGGCTTCACTCTGGGTTTGTCAGGGTGGGGAGAAGGGACTTGTTTGTTCCTGAGAACCATTCTGGAAGGTTCCCTTACGTGAGCCTGGTGAGACTGCAGGTTTCAAACTGGAGTTTTAAAATGGAGTTGCTAGGCTCAGGCCCAAAGCCGTCCTCACAATGCTTCAGTGGCTTCTCCTTTTGTAAAGTAAAATCCTATGAGAGCCTTGTTGCCCTGGCTCCTGAAGGCTGGCCCTGAGGGGAGCTGATTTGTCCCCCCTGCTGGTTCACTGGGCTCTGTCAGTCACAGGGTTTCTTTGCTGACCTTGAAGGTCACCACACTCCTGCCCAAGGCCCTGTGCTCCTCCTCTCCACCTGGAACTTTCCCCTCCACACCTGCATGTGGCTTGCTCCTTCACTTCATTCAAGTCTGCTCAGGGGCTGCCTCTGGGGACAAGCTTCCTGATGCCATTGTGCATGGCAGCCTCCTGTGTAAGTCGTCCTCTTTCTCCTTACCTTGGTTCTAATTCCCAGTATTTGCCATGATCTGGCATTAATTCTGTGTTTGTTTATTTATTTCTTTGTCTCTTTCATGAGAGCAGGAACTTCAGCCTATTTCCTTATCACTGTGTCTTAGGCTCAAAGTTATCACTCAATAAATACTGGTTAAACAGGTGAACCAATGAATGGGATTTTTCTTTTTTATAAGCAAGTTGGGTTATTAGGTACAGGGGTTTACAGTCTATCATTCCTGAACTCTTACACGTCTTTTTTCTTTTGGTGCTGGGGATTGAACCCAGAGGTGTTTTACCATGGACGACATCTCTGGCCCTTTTTACAAATATATATATTTATACTAAGTTTTGGGGCTTTTGACCCCCTTTTCAATCCTTACCAGCTGCCATTGGGTCTCTCAGTGACATCATTTACCCTGAGGTAAGTTTAGGTGGGTATATTTAGCTGTTGATGTTGGAGGTGGCTAAGGGGACAAAGCACCAGGCAATCTGCATGCGGGAAAGAACAACCAATCAGGTGCTGCATAACCACCTGTCAATAAGCAGGGTCTCCTGACCAATCCTGGAAGGACACGGAGCTCAGCAAGATCCCCAGACAACCCCAGGAGGACAAGGGACTCTAAAAACCTCCCTTTCCTGTCCCAAGCCCTCCATTCCTGCCCTAAGACCCCCAAAATTCCAATCTGGCTGAGCCTAGGTGCGACTCTGTTGGACTGGAGGGTCTTGCTCCCAAGGGAATCTCAATAAAGCCTTGGTCAACAGCTTTTAATCTTCCTCACTTTTGGTAACTGACCTTACAGTTGATGGACTTTATTTTATTCATTTATTTATAAGCGGTTCTGAGAATTGAACCCAGTGCCTCACTCACGTGAGGCAAGTATTCTACCACTGAACCACAACCCCAGACCCCTCTCCAGCCCTTTTTATTTTTGATTTTGAGACAGGGTCTCACTAAGTTGCTGGCCTCAAACTTTCAATCCTCCTGCCTCAACCTCCTTCTTGAGTTGCTAGGATTACAGGCATGCTCTACCATGCCTGGCTCCTACATATCTTTGAAGGCAACAATTTTCTGATTTTCTAACAGTCTAAACAGACTATCAGTTAGTTAAGAAAAGGAGCTTTAGTACATTCATGGGAATATCCCCAGACTCTAGAATAATTCCTAGAATACATTGAGTGCTGAATAAATATATCTATTATAAGTAATTGAAATGGAATTGTCAGTGAAGGAAATAAGGATCTAAATTTTCTCAAAGCAAATTCTTTTTGATAGCAGAGACAATGGAATACTGAGGTTTATGCATCGGGACAATAATCACAAATTAAAATTATCTTCATTTGCATGCTGTTTGTTAATGACTACTGTTATGGACTAAATACTGACCCCTCCAAATGTATATGTTGAAGCTCTAATTCTCAATATAATTATACTGGGGAACGGGGCCTTTAATAAGCAGTAACTGAGCCCAGCACTGGGGCACACGCCTGTAATCCCAGTGGCTCTTGAGTCAGAGGCAGGAAGATTGCAAGTTTGAGGCCAGTAGGCAATTTGGCAAGAACTTGTCTCAAAATTTAACAAACAGCCAGGCATGGTGACACATCCATATAATCCCAGTGACTCAGGAGACTGAGGCAAGTGGATCCCAAGTTCAAAGCCAGCCTTAGCAATTTAGCAAGGTCTTGAATCAAAATTAAAAAATAAGAAATGGACTGGTGATATAGCTCAGTGATAAAACTCTCCTGGGTTCAACCCTCAATACTGAAAAAAAAAAAAAAAAGAGTAAGCAATAATTAAAATGAGGTCATAAGGGTGGACTCTTGATTTCATAGGGCTGATGTCCTTATAAGAAGTTGATGACATACCAGGTTAGTGCAAGCACTGAGGAAAAGCTATGTGAAGACATAGCAAGAAAGCAGGGACCTACAAGACAGGAAGAAAGGATTCACCAAAAGTCTGCTGGCACCTTGACCTTGCACTTGCTGCCTCCAGAACTGTGAGGAAATAGATTTCTATTGTGTAAGCCACTGGTCTGTGGAATTTTGTTGTGGCAACCCAAGCAGCCAATACAACTGTTCAAGATTCCAATCATGGTGAGTGGAATCATTCTAGAATGTGAAGGACAAAATGAGGATACACGCACACCCCTTCCTGGTACTGGGAGGGAAACCTCCAATTCCTTCTGCGTATTGTGCTATATTGGGGGGAAAAAAACTATGAAATAAAATACTATGTTTTTCAATCAACACATTGGTTCTGTTTCCAAGTAGTGCTTGTAATTTAAAAGTTGTGAAAAAATAGCTGAGCCTGGTGTCTATAATCCCATCAACTCCTGAGGCTGAGACAGACGGATGACATGTTCAAAACCAGCCTGGGCAACTTAGCCAGACCCTGTCGGGAGAAAGAAAAAGAAAAGAAAAAATTCTGAAAAAAAAAAAAACTTCACAATCAAATTTTAAATATACAACTATATTCATGTAAGTGTAAACTTGGTAATTTGATAGCTTATTCATTTGTTTATTTTTCACTGTGCTTTCTTTCTTTTATGGTAGTAAGGATTGAACTCAGGAGTGCTCTGCCACTGAGCCACATCCCTAGACCTTTGTGTGTGTGTGTGTGTGTGTGTGTGTGTGTGCATGTGTGTGTATGTATATATATATATTATTTTGCTGAAGCTGGCTTCAAACTTGCAATCCTCCTGCGTCAGCCACTCAAATTGCTGATTACAGGCATGCACTACCATGCCTGGCAGAATTTTCAAAGAAAATAATACTTTGGTCAAAACAAGATTCCTCATAGTAATAACGATGATACATATGGACAGAGTCAGTGATTAAATTGTTTATGCTTTTCTTAAGCAATGGAGTTAATGTTGACCAAATAGCTATTAACATTTGTGTAAGATAACTGCCTATTCATTTCCACGTCTGTCTGGTAAAGTGTGACACGGAGAAATAGAAAAATATAATACTGACATGCATTTGCAAACAATGATCAGAGGTGTGGCATCAAGCTTTTAGAAGAGCATTTGAAAACTGTCCCACACTGTGTCCTGAAATTGGGTAAAAATAAAGTTCTCCCCTGGGTCGCAAAGGAGGGCTAAATCACAAGCAATCACAAGCACTATGGGTTCACAAAGCTGCAATTTTTTTCCCCAATACTGGGGATTAAACCCAGGCCCCTGTACATGCCAGGCTCATGCTCTGCCACTAAGCTCCATCCCCAGCCCAAAGCTGTTAATTCTTCAAAGCACTGAATAGTCTTCACAAAGGAAGTACAAAAATCTTGAGACTCTAATCGTATGTTTTGATTAAGAGTCAATGAAGCACAGCATTGCTATGACAAAGCAGTCTCTGTGAGCTCCCTGCTACCTGTCAGAAAAGCAGAGGCCCTGCCAGACATTTTTTTTTTTTTTTGGGGGGGGGGGGGGCGGGGGTGTGTGTGATTACCAGGGATTGGATTCAGAGGTGCTTAACTACTGAGACACATCCCCTGTCCTTTTTTTTTTTTTTAATATTTATTTTTTTGGGGGGGATCTCCCTAAGTTGCTTTAGGGCTTTGTTAAGTTGCTGAGGCTGGCTTTGAACTTGTGATCTTCCTGAATTAGCCTTCTGAGCTGCTAGGTTTACAGGCATGCACCATCGCGCCTGGCTACCAGAAAAATTTTAGATTTAAAAATCTTATATTTTGAAAATAATAATGTATTGGTTGAATTTATCTACCAAATTTCATAACATTCTGTCCTTACCAGTGTTAATTTGGTGGGAGGCCACTGGGGGGCTGAACTCAGGGACACTTTACTACTGAACCACATCCCCAGCCCTTCAAAAATTTTTTTTTAGTTTGAGACAGGGTCTTGCTAAGTTGCCTAGGCTAGCCTCAAACTTATGATTCTTCTGTCTCAGCCTCTGAGTAGCTGGGATTACAGGCGTGCACCACCAGCTACTAGTGCTAATTTTATGTGATGCTACATAGGATCAAATTCTCTGAAAGAACTGGTTTAAATAAAAGTATATATGGGGGCTGGGATTGTGGCTTAGAGGTGGAGCACTTGCCTAGCATGCGTGATGCACTGGGTTCGATCCTCAGCACCACATAAAAATAAAATAAGGAAATTGTGTCCACTTATAACCAAAAAATAAATATTAAAAAAAAGACATCTTAAAAAATAAAAAAGTATATCTGCCTTTTCTAAAGACAGTGTAGCATCCAAATGCCTATGATATACTTCATGGTAGGGCATGAAGTTTTGTTTTTCCTATAACTGATAAAAGAGGAAATACTGAGAAATGAATAAATTAATGGATAATCAAGCATATTCAGAATTCTAGAAAGAAACTGTTAAGAAAATGAATGCCAGATCTTTAAGGAAACTACCATTTACTTTTGGCTTCCCCCTTCTCTGAAAATAACAATAACTGGACAGATTGAAAATGTTTTTGATAGTTTTCCATTTTCCTTTATATATTCAACAACATAATCCTCAAGAGAAAGGCACTAAAATACAATCCTTGTTTATTCTAATTATGTTGATCAGAAGAACTGACATTAAATGTTCAATTTGTCCATTTGTCCTTAGGTTTTTTTATTTTATTATTATTTTTTTTTAGTTGTAGATAAACATAGTACCTTTATTTTATTTTTTTCATGTGGTGCTGAAGATTGAACCCAGGGCCTCACACATACTAGGTACTCGCTCTACCACTGAGCCACCACCCCGGCCCCGTTCTTAGGTGCTTTATTTTAACAATATCTAAGAGCAAAAGAAATTTAGCAGAAGTAATTAAGTTTAAAGCATTTTTAACTAATATGAGTAGCAGATAGGGGGAAAAAAACCTCTCTGTGCAATATAAACTCGTTATTAACTCACTTCTTCATTCAAATACCAAAAATCTCTAATATGATAAGATCACATGCTGGAGGAAAAAATAATAGACTGGTCTCATTTTAAACTGGAGCTGGAGGTGTAGCCTGGCGGTTCAATCTGTAGGTCCTGGATTCCATCCAAAAAGAACTCAAGAAAAACAAACAAACAAAAAAAACCTTCATGGTTGCTAACTTCAGTTGAGTCTATGTGATGCGTGATGCCCAGTCGTCCTACTATGGTCAAGTTCATCCCAAATCACTATATTTAGACCTCTTTAGATCTTCAATATCTCTTACCCTCCTTAGACCTTCTCTCTTCAGACTTTCAATATCTCCTACCCTTCTCAATCTCAACTACTTATTTCACCTGGGGGGAAAAAACTTACAAGAGGACTTCTGTAAGCACTCACCACCAAGCTATCACACCAGCCTCACCTGTGTGTCTGTACACAGCCTCTCCACCTGTTAAACTCAGTAAACGGCCTGTGTTCCCTTAAGGCCAAGCCCTCCACTTGTCTGGAGAACGTGTCCTCTCTCCTACTCAGGAGCGAGGCTCCCCAGCCGTCCAGCCTCCTGTATCATCAACGTTCTCCTTTCTACCAGACTATCTTCATCAGTGTATAAACATGCCACATGTATTCCTGCCTATAAAATCCTGATCTGACCACATTCTCTAGCCAACAGTCCAACTACTGTCTTCTCTTTACAATGAAACTACTCTAAATTCACATACTCTAAGATGAATATAATTCAAAAAGAAAAAAGTGTTGGTGAAGATGTGCAGGAACTGAAACATTCATGCATTGCTGGCAGGAATGTAAAACAGCTGGACATTTCCTCAAAAAGTTAAAAAGAGAGTTAAAAGCCTTTTGAGCATTATTTCCCCAAATGTTTCCTTTCCTCCCACCCAGGCAGGTAGAGTGTGTGGTACCTCGGTAGGTCCAGGGAACTGGGAAGGTAGACTCAGTGCTTCTGATAAACAGGGTCCTGCTGATCTGACAAGCAGATGCTCACCCCCATAGCCCACCATCTGCCCCTTTATCTTACAACCCCCACTCCCAACTCTTTTCCTCTAGTCAAGCTGGTTTCTTTTCTGTCCCCAAATTCTGAAGTTTGCTAAGACCTCATTCTAAAATATTCCCTTCCTTTCCCTATGTCTTTCAAAACCTGTTGGAGATTCTATTTCATCATTCAGTAAACTCAGAGTGCCTACCATATGCAATTCGCTGCCCAGAATGTTAGAGTAAAGAATAAGTTCCTGTCCTTGTGCAATTTATATTCTGGTGGGAACAACGCATTTAAAAAACGAAAAAAATAAGTATTTAATTACAGTTGTAATAAGTGCTAAAAATAAGCACATGAAAGTATGATGACCTAAAATGAGGGAATGGCCTGTCTGGGGATTATGAAGGTGTTCTCATGCACTGCTGTGACAACTATTTAGGAAAGTAATAAGGCTCTTTTCTGCTTGGCAGCTCTCACCATTTTGGGGCTCTCCATAGGTGGAAGCTGCTCTAACCCTGCCTCTCTGAGGGAACTGTGCTTACCCCCACCACTGTTGGAGGTCACTTCTTGGAGAGGTGCTGGGTCTTCACTGCAGTCAGCTGCTTCAGGTTGAGTCCTGTACATGGCTCAGTCGACCCTGACCTTGTGGATCAGGAGCCCCAGGAAGTTCTGCTACTGCTCTGACATCTTTGGATGTTTCTGAGACAAGTTTTTTTTTTTTTTTTTTAAAGAGAGAGAGAATTTTTTAAATATTTATTTTTCAGTTTTCGGTGGACACAACATCTTTATTTTATTTTTATGTGGTGCTGGGGATGGTACCCAGCACCCTGGGTATGCCAGGTGAGCGCGTTACCACTTGAGCCACATCCCCAGCAAGAAACAAGTTTTTTTAGTGAAAATACTGGAGCCATGTGCAAGTCCTTAAATTAAAAAATTAGGAATAAAAGCCTAATTTCTGACACTTCAAAACTATGGAGACTAAATTATATTGTTATATTGTGTCCATGTATGAATATGTAACAGATCCTATCATTATATGCCACAGTCTGGCTGGGCACAATTCACGAGCCACTTGTCAAGCAGAAAGGAACTTTTTTAGAACACACGCAGCACCACAGGAGCTCTTCAGGAATTCCCTCAGAGCCCAACTGCCACCACCGGCTTCCCGGGAGCCTCTCAACCCCCACTCCTCCCGCTCTTGAGGCCCATTGGCTGGGTTGTGTGGGCGGAGCCAAAAGAGTCCCCCAATGAGCTGCTCCGTGGTCTGAAAGGGAGGGGAAACAGCCTAATGAGCATCACCGCAGAGGAGCCAATCAGCTGGAAGTTTGCTGGGGCCGCTTCGGCTGTGGCTCTCAACAATTATAAACAACTATAATGCACCAATTAAAAATATTTGGATTGCTGGACACAGTGGCGGTGGCACATGCCTATAATCCCAGCAGTTTGGGAGGCCGAGGCAGGAGGATCATGAGTTCAAAGCCAGCCTCAGCAAGTGAGGTGCTAAGCAACTCAGTGAGACCCTGTCTCTAAATAAAATACACAATAGGGCTGGGGATGTGGCTCAGTGGTTGAGTGGCCCTGAGTTCAATCCCTGGTAACCAGAAAAAAAAAAAAAAATGATGGCAGGGTGTGATGGCGCACACTTGTAATCCCAACAGCTTGGGAGGCTGAAGCAGGAGGATCATAAGTTCAAAGACAGCCTCAGTAACTTAATGAGGCCCTAAGTAATTTAGTGAGATCCTGTCTCAAAATAAAAAATAAAAAGGGCTGGGGATGTGGCTTAGTGATTAAATGCCTCTGGGTTCAATCCCTAGGCAAAACAAAACAAAATTTCTTGTCAAAACTGTTTTCATGGGCTGGGATGTGGCTCAAGCGGTAGCGCGCTTGCCTGGCATGCGTGCGGCCAGGGTTCGATCCTCAGCACCACATACAAAGATGTTGTGTCCGCCGATAACTAAAAAATAAATATTAAAATTCTTTCTCTCTCTCTCTCTCTCTCTCTCTCTCTCTCTCTCTCTCCCTCTCTCTTTAAAAAACTTAATTTTGGTTAGATAAGGGATGGCTATAAAATTTTCTTCACCTATCCAACAGTATCCAATACGATAAACATTCTATCAATATTTGTAAAAGTGTAGTGGCACCCCCTTTCTCCACAAAAAAGTCTTAACTGGGCTTCTCAAGGAATCTTCACCATGGCAGATTTTGGGACTGTCACAAAAGAGTCTTTGCAAAAGAGTTCAGTGTAGATAAACTTCCTATTTTTGTGTCGCCCTGTTTTACTTGACTACTGGCCGAGAAGATACCAGCACTCCAGGTGCTGGACACCCCCTTACTAGTTTTTCACAAACATATCCAGTAGAGTAGTTTTTAGAAATGTGCAAACAAGGCCTCTGGCCTTGAGCTGGGCTTCACAGAGATGTCTACATTTTTAAGATAAGTTACAATTGGGCCCATGGTAACAGCTGGCAGGGGGAGGAAAGAAAGGGGAGAAGCAGCTCTCCCCTTCTCAGGTGTTGTCCTTGAAGGGTTAACTTGTCCAAAACAGTGAAAGAAAAAGCTGCTTTTATATGAACTTCTGCAGACTGTGAACTTCTGAGCCCTTCCCCTTACATGCTGGGGATAAAACTCTGAATCTACCTGAACTTGGGGTTCAGGGGATTAATTGATTACAGCAGAAGCTGTGCCCTCTGAACCTGGCTGTAGCCAAATAAAACTGTTTCCTGCGATCTTCAGTGCCTTACCTCATCTGTCCCTACAACAAAAGGAGGGGAGGAAAAACAAGTTTAAGTATGTTTGGTAGAGATTGAATGATAACCATTAATGGCTTGATATAATGGCATGACAACGCATTGCAGAGCTTCTAAATGAACAATGGGAAGAAAGAAGAGATACTTTTTCAGGCAAAATAAAATGGAAAAGTGAAAAACACAAAGTATAATAATAAGAGACACCAGCCAGGTGGGGTGGCACACACCTGTAATCCCAGCAGCTTGGGAGGCTGAGAAGGGAGAATCGCAGGTTCAAAACCAGCCTTAGCAATGGTGAGGCGCTAAGCAACTCAGTGAGACCCTGTCTCTAATAAAATACCAAATAGGGCTGGGGATGTGGTTCCATGGTTGAGTGCCCCTGAGTTCAATCCCCAGTATCAATCAATCAATCAATCAATCAATAAATAAAAAATAGGCACCGATGGAAGCGATAAGGCCAACATTGCATTGAACATAAGGGGCCTACCTTTATATTTCAACATTACAGTTGCTCTAATAAACGTAAAAGGATGAAATTTACATATCAGGGGGAGGGGAACCCTTCATTTTGGATTTAAGTAAATTAGATATGATTCATTTAATTCTAGGTATTATTTACTTGTTGAAACACTTAAAACAATGCCAACATATAATGAAAGGATTCTATTCACAGTACATCATATATGTCAGAATATACCTAGCAAGACATAGGCAAGATATATATGAAAAATGCAAAATTTCACTGAATATATTGGTTTCCTACTGCTGTGGTAACAAACAACCATGATCTCAGTGGCTTAAAACAACCCAAATTTATTATCTTGCAGTTCTGTAGGTGATTAGTCTCATTGGGCCAAAGTAGTGGTTCAGCAGGGCTGCTCAAAGGGAGAAGCCCCAACTCAAACAGGTGTTGGCAGAATTTAGTTCTACCAGATTGTAGGACTGAGGTCCTCATTCCCTTACTGTCATCTGGGAATCACTGGAGGCTCCTACAGGCCCTTTTCTGGGTCTTGCACATAGCTCTCCACATTTCTGCAGCAGCAACAAGGCATGGATGTGGGAGGCTAACCTTACACGTGACTGAGTTACACTCCCCAGCTGGGTGCTGAGGCTCTCAGTCGCAGAAATGTGGCACCCTTCTTGGGTGCGAGGGTCCGTGTCTTGTGCATGGGTGTGTCTTGCTACAGCCCCATGGGTAAAGCTATGCTCACCTGTTCCTTTGTAATATAACTCCTTGCCCTGTTTAGGATAGAATCTTCCATGGAAGTGCCTTGTGTGTGTCCCCTCCTCTTACTGTGCCCTTGGGTGTGGCCTGCCCAGGTGTCAGTCAACCTGCTGACAGTGGACATCATGAAGATACTCCGCCCCCTGAAACCTGACCCCTTGCCTCATTTGAATAGCTTCTCCTCAATAAAAGGGGTCAATGCATGCTCTTGATCTCTCTCTTCCTGTGGACCCTTAAGGTCAGAGGAGCTGTCACAGTGACCCCAAAGAAAAAGGTATTTGTGTCTCTTGTGTGGTTATTTCGTGCAGCCTAGTTAGCCCAGTTTAACTGGAGTGACCCCTGAGCCTTTTAGTCACAAGAACAGAAACCCAGCATGGAATTCTTGTGCTTTGACTCTCTCCTGTGATTAGACTGGGCCTACCCTAACATAATCATGTCTCCAGGTCATTAATCTTAAATTACATCTGCTAAATTTCTTTTGCCATGTTAAAGCAACATATTGATAGGTTCCAGGAAATTAATAATTGTATCCTTGAGGTGCCATTAGTCTTGTCTATCACAGTAAAGGACAGAAAAAACAAAACAAAAAAAACCCTAAAATGGTGGCTAGGGGGTGCAGCTCAGTGGTAGAGCCCTTGCCTAGCATGTGTGAGGCTCTGGGTCCCATCCCCAGCACTCCAAAAACAACCAAACGAAACAAAAATCTTAAAGGGTGAAATGTCCTATTTTTAGATGAGAAGCTTTCCTAATTAAGTATATAATTTCTGCCTAAATTGGTGCACACATTTAGAGTTAGATGTACTAATGATAACTTAAGTTGAATTTTTCCATCAGGTAAGTAGATAGTTGTTCAGAAATTATATTGACAAAAATAAAGGTAGCTGACAAGAGGTAAATACACCGGCATTTGGCACCAGGACAAAGTAACATTTCACACTGTGCTTCCAATAGCCTATTAACATCCAGGATTCTTATGGTCATTATTTATTTATTTATTTATTGGTACCCGTATGATCTCAGGGGTACTAGACCACAGAGCCACAACCCCAGCCCTATTTTGTATTTTATTTAGAGACAGGGTCTCACTGAGGTGCTTAGCACCCTTGCTGAGGCTGGCTTTGAACTTGTCATCCTCCTGCCTCAGCCTCCCAAGCTGCTGGAATTATAGGCCTGTGCCCCCATGTTTGGCTTCTGGTCATCATTTTTAGTCACACATTTGTTATTATGTACTATTCAAAGATTCCTATCACCACTTCCTGATTCAAAGCCAAACGTTCAAGACTGCAGTATAGTTTCTCTTCCTTTCCCCAACACATTGTTTTTACTTATCAAAAGTGAAATTAGGGGGCGGGGGATGTGGCTCAAGTGGTAGCGCGCTCTCCTGGTATGCGCGAGGCGCTGGGTTGGATCCTCAGCACCACATTAAAAAAAAAACACACACACACACAAAAAAAAAACCAACAAAGATGTTGTGTCCGCCAAAAAATTAAAAAATAAATATTAAAAAAATTTTCTCTCTCTCTTAAAAAAAAATGAAATTTAGGGGGCTGGGGTTGTGGCTCAGAGGTAGAGCGCTCACCTAGCATGCATGGTGCACTGGGTTCCATCATCAGCACCACATAAAGATATTGTGTCCACCTATAACTAACAAATATATAAATAAATAAATGTGTGTGTGTGTGTGTGTGTATGTGTGCGGGCTGAGGATTGAACTCAGGGCCTTGTGCATGCAAGGCAAGCACTCTACCAACTGAGCTATATTTCCACCCCCTTAAAAAAATAAATATTTAAAAAAAAAAAAAGGGCTGGGGTTTTGGTTCAGAGGTAGAGCGCCTAGCATGTGCTGGGCTCTGGGTTCCATCCTCAGCACTGTAAGGGTCCGGCAAATGACCGAGGAAGAGACCACCAAGAGACCCCAAGAGACCGACTCATGCAACCGCAGAAGGGGGTTTATTGAGAATCCAGTGCGCTGGGGCTCCGTGCTCACTCAACAAGGGAGAGTGGCCCAGAGCCCCGAGCAGGGGTTAAGCAGTGCTTAAGTACACTTTTTGGGGAGGGCGGGGGCTTTGCATACACCAGAGCAAATCATCATGAGGCACGGGAAAATCAAACAACTATTAGTACGTTCATTGGCGGGAACAGGTCGGGCGGGGGTGATAGGTCAGTTATAAAGCGGGGTACACATTCAAACTGATTGGTTTAGGCCTTGAGATGCTTACATGCCAAGCTGCACAGGGTCCTAGGTTATTAAACAACTAGATGGTCAGGGGGAATATTTACGGGGCAGTCCCGGGAATTGTCCTAACAGCTACAGGAATTTCAGGTTTTGGGTATAGCATAGGAACTTAACAATACCTGGTCCTTTACATTTTAACTCAGGCTTTGCAGCTTAGAAGCTTTACAATACCCGGTCTTTTACACTTTAACTTCAATTTCTTTTACTCTTACAGGCACCACATAAAAATAAAATAAAGGGGGCTGGGCTTGTGGCTCAGTGGTAGCTCGCCTAATATACATAAGGCACTGGGTTCGATCCTCAGCACCACATAAATATAAAATAAAGATATTGTGTCAATGTAAAACTAAAAATAAATATTAAAAAAATAAAGAACTAACAAACAAAAAAGTGAAATTCTGGATTCGATCCTCAGCACCACATAAAAATAAAATAAAGGTATTGTGTCCAACAAACAAGCAAACAAAGAAGTGAGATTTAGGGGCTATGGTTGTAACTCAGTGGTAAAGTGCTTGCCTAGTGATACCACAGGTTATCAGTGATGAGTCCTGCTCCCTCACACCTTGAAGTCCCAACATTAGAGAAGCAGGTGGAGGCAAGCATATAAAGCAGGTTTTTTTTTTAAAATATTTGTTCTAGTTGTAGTTGGACACAATATCTTTATTTATTTATATGTGGTGTTGAGGATTGAATCCAGTGCCTCACACATGCGAGGTGGGTGCTCTACCACTGAGCCACAGCCCCAGCCCCTAAAGCAGGATTTATTTTAAAAAGAGTTAGCATAGTGAAGCCAGAACTAGACTGGCAGTTGAAAGGAAAGTGACCACAACACTTGGAGGTGAAGCTAGATTTAAAATTAGCTAGTCAGTATAGTTAGGTAAATTCGGTCTAATATCGCGTGAACTCTAAAATGGAGGCCATGCTGAAAATGAATTCTAGGAAAGGCAGGACAACTCATGGAATGTTAATGAAGTCCCCAGAAAAGCCCTAGGCCCAAAGTCCATCCCAAAGAAATGTTAATGAACAGCCCCAGCAGATTTGAAGATAGCCCATCCCAAAGAAGTGTTAATGAAGTCCTTCCTGCCCAGATTACTTGTTTGGCCCACCTGTGTCCCAACCCTTCCCCCTTACATTCCATCACCAGAACTATAAAAAGAGAAAACAACCACACTTCCATGGATTCCACCTCTTGGGTCCCCTTCTTCCTCTGGGAGAAGTCTTTTCTGCTGTCCTTTAATAAACTTCTAATTTCTACTCTGACCTTACCTCGGCGTGCTTCTCTGGTGTTATTCTTCAACACTGGGGAAGCAAGGACTCGTCACCGGTCAACAGCGAACAGAGGGACCAAGAGATCTTTATTGCAGCAGTGCAAAAGAGGAGAAAGAGAGAGAGAGAGAGAGAGAGAGAGAGAAGAAAGAGAGCAAGGGAGAGCTAAAGCAAGAGGAGGAGACAGAGAGAGAGCAAGAGAGGGGGGGGCCTGCCAGGAGGGAGTTTTTATAGCCCAAATCTAATGGGGTCTCTGGGTCTGCAAGCTGCCTTGTTGGTGTACAGTGATTGGATCATACAGTAGGGTCATCTTCTGCCTTCAGGCAGACGGGGCAGTGTCCCATCCGGCAGGACACATCAACGTGGGCAGCGAACCTAGATGGGGAGGAATGAAGGGACAAGAGACACAGAAGGATGACAGCAAGACAAAAATTCTGATCAAGCTGCAAACTTTTATTGTTCACACAGGGGTATTTATATGCTGGGGATGGGGAAGTTCCCTTATCGGCAGTTGCTGGATGTCTGCACAAGGTGAGATAACCGCAGGATGTTTCAGGAAGATAGGTTTCAGGAAGATAAGTGGCCGCAGGATGTCTCAGGTGAGATAAGTAGCTGCAGGATGCCTCCCAGGCAGGATGTCTCCCAGGGGGCTGTCAGGCTAATCTTTGAAGGAGAATTTCCTTCTAGTCCCTGACAGGGCAGGGGCTAGATGTGGGTTTCCATTGCCCTAGATGGGTGGGGGTCGAGTGTTCAGACTTGATGCAAACAGGTGATAAAGGACCAGGCAGAGGGGGGTTTTGAGTGCATGGGTTGTCCTGCAGCTAACGATTGTTCAGCCTGCCCTGCACCTAACAGCAGTCAATATACATAGATAAATCAAGTCAGGTCAGAAGAGTCAGGCCAATCTGAGTGAGTCCCCGGAAGTAGGAGACTGTGTCCTGAGGAATTGAATTGTTAATTCCTTCAGAGCCCTTCCTCCACCCTTACCAAGGACCTGTCCCAGCTCCAACCTGTGATGAAGGTAACCGGTCCTTGGAATTGCCCCCCTCCCCCAAGGAGCTATCAAGTTGTCAATTGATGTGTCCCGGGCTGCACCCTTCTTCCCTTCCCCCTTCAGCCCACCTGATTCCCACCTCTTGGCAGTCCCACTGGGCATTCCTGGGTTCTAGTCATGTTTGCAGGAAGGAGAAAGATAAGGAGAGCAAAGGAAGGCTAGGACATATAAAGTCTGTTACCCCTTTTTACATAAACCCTTCTTCATATGCTTGCCCCGTCGTGCTTCTCTAATGTTCAAACTTGAACATGTGAGGAAGCAGAACTCATTACTGGTGATATCAATAGACTTCTCCCAGGAGGAGAAGGGGGTCATAGCTGGTATCCTGGTATCCCCACAATCAAGGTGTTTGTCATAGGTTTCCTTTGTTCTCTGGCCTCTCCCTCTTTTCTTTCTCCTGTGTATGTAACTAGGCCCAGGAATGCTCCGATGGACAGCCAAAAGGTGGGAGCCAGGTGGGCTGAATGGGGAAGGGGCGGATGGAGCAGCCCTGGACACATTAATTAACTTTATAGCTCCCTGTAGGGAGGGGCAATTCCTGGGACAGGTTACCTTAGCAACAGGTTGGAGGGAGCAGGTTATCTTGATTGGGGGCATTCCAATCCCTTAGGGGGTAGTCTCCAACTTCCCGACTCCCTGTAATTGGCCTCCTTCATCAGAGCTGACTCCATTTACCTATCTATACCCCTGCCTGTCTAATTCTGGCTTCATTAGCATGTGTGAGGCACTGGGCACAATCCTCAACACCACATAAAAATAAATAAAGGCACTGTGTCCTTGTACAGTTAGAATAGTGAAATTTATGTCATTTTTCTGTTCACTCACAAGGCTTCATGAGAACGTTCTCTTCATGAGAACAGTTAAAGTAAGCATTGTATCTTGCTTGAGAAAGGATTTTAGAAAAAGAAACAATTTTTAATAATTGTTTTTATCAAGATAATCCTCAAAGATGTGGATCACACTCTGCACACTGAAAGCAAGGCAGATGATGTCCGTGGGTGTTCAGGTGTTTACCCGTCCACTCGGGTGCCTGTTTGGGGACGTGGGGTGAAGATGATCAAGAGTTGAGAGCATTCATATGTTCCTCCAAAACAAGTGGTTCTTATAGACAATGCACTTGCAAAGGAATACAGATGTCTGGACGCTCCTTACTTAAGTGGTTAGTTCATTTAATTAAAAGGAATCAATTAATGCTGAGCGCAGTGGTGCACGCCTACAATCCCAGCTACTGGGTAAACTCAGATTGAAATGGGGGGCCAACCTGGGCGACTTGGTGAGACCCTGTCTCGAAATTAAAAAAAAAAAAAAAGTCTTGGGGGTAGCCCGGTGCTGGAGCGCTCCCGGGAAAAGCAATCAACCCTCACTTTTCAAGCTAACCGTTGTGCTCTATTCCCACAAAACGCTGGGGTGCACCTATTTGTAAGTCCCTGGAAATAAAAGGGCCGTCACCGGTTCACCGGGCGCCGCCCTTGGGACAGGTCCCAGGCCGCCTCGCCGTGGAGGGCAGCGCTGAGGACGCCAGGCCGGTCTCCAGCTTGACTCCGGTCACCGGCCCGAGCCGGAGGGAGCCTTCTCCGTGACGTCCGGGGAGGGCCGACCGGCGACCAGACGGCCTAGCCGTGGGCTTCGGGGTCGTCTCACCGCCCGGTCCACAACCCTGTTCCCGTCTCCAAAATTCCTTTCGCCATGTTCAGATGGCATATTCACGGGTTCCCGGAAATTAGGGCGGGGTATCTTTAGGGGCCATTAGTTTGCACGTCACAGTAACGGGCACGTTTTTAGATGGGCGGATTCCCTACACGGCGACCGGGTCCGCCAGCGGCCGCACCCCTCCCCCTCCCCCTACCGGCTTCCGGCTCCCAGCTCCCGGCTCCGAGTTCTCTCAGCGAAAAAAAAAACAAAGCCGCAGCAGGATGCCCGGATGTAGGCGCCCGCGCATGCGCACCCAGGTGGCAAGAGCGCGAGGCGGTGGGCGGAGCGAGGCGGCTGGGTGTCGGTTGGAACGCAGGAGAGCCACGCCCATCGCGCAACGATTTTGCGCATGCTCCGGGCGCCAGCTTCTAGTACTTTCGCTTCGTCTGCGAACTTCCCCCCTCAGTTGGCGTCCGGACGTCGGAGGTGAAGGTTGAAGTCTTAGGAATTCCAAAAGACTTACGAAAACCACCCTCTGCGTCCTGAGTTTGGAGAGGGAGGTGTCCGTTGGGCCTTTCTCTCCGTCCTGCTAGGTGTTGACGGCCAGCGGTGAGTTTCCTGCCGACGGGGCGGAGGCTGCGCTTCTGGGCGCGGGTGCCTGGGGACCGGACGGGTCGGGCGACCGCGCGGGGGCGGGAAGGCCGCGGTACTTTTGGGGCAGAGTCGTTGGTGTCGAGCTGCCGCTCGGCCCGCGCCCCCGGGGACCTGACCTTTGGTTCTTCCTTCCCCTGTGTCGCAGAGGCCGTGAGCTTGCGGAGGCGCGCGCTGCACTGAAGGAACCCTGGCCGCAGGCGCCATGTCCAACTACGTGAACGACATGTGGCCTGGCTCGCCGCAGAAGGACTCCCCCGCGACCTCGCGGTCGGGCCGCTCCAGCCGCCTGTCGTCGCGGTCGCGGAGCCGCTCCTCGTCCGGGAGCTCCCGGTCTGATACGCGCCGATCCAGCCCCGCGTCCTCTAGGAGCCGCAGCCGGCCCCGCAGGCGCAGCAGGTCGCGCTCTCGCTCCCGGAGGCGCCATCAGCGCAAGTACCGGCGCTACTCTCGGTCCTACTCGCGGAGCCGCTCGCGCTCCCGCGGCCGCCGGTACCGGGAGAGGCGCTACGGGCCGCCGCGGAGGTCTCACCGCTCGCCTTCGCCCTACCGGTCGCGGAGCAGGTCGCGCTCCCGGGGAAGGTCGTGTTACAGAAGGTCGTACTACTCCATCACGCGGGGGCGGCGCTACTACGGCTTCGGCCGCACCGTTTACCCCGAGGAGCACAGCAGGTGGCGGGAGAGATCCCGGACCCGGTCGCGCAGCAGGACCCCTTTTCGTTTAACTGAAAAAGGTGGGGCATTTGGGTTCAGAGCGCAGCGAACTTCCTCTTTTTTGCATGGGTGGAGACGTGAGTAGGCGAGGCAGCCAAAAAAGGTGTTTTTGTTTGGTGGTGGTGCTGGGGATTGGCCCCAGGGCCCTGGGCACAAGAGGCAAGCACTCTACCAACTGAGCCATGTCCCCAGCCCCTAGGGAGCCAACGTTGTGTCGTTTAAATTATTTGTTAGAGGGAAAACTGTAGCTGGTCATTAGTTGAAGTTATGGGTATCTAGCATTTAAATTGACTAGATTTTTCCTCTTTGAACTGTGACGTTAATGGTTCAAAGCGAGGAAACCCTTTCCCTTGTGGTTGATTGTTATTAGTATAGTTCTTTTTTTTCTGGTACTAGGAATTGAGTTCAGGGGCACTTGGACCCCTGAGCCACACCCCCAGCCCAATTTTGTATTCTATTTAGAGACAGGGTCCCACTGAGTTGCTTAGCGCCTTGCTGTTGTGCTGAGGCTGACTTTGACCCCGGGATCCTACCTCAGCTTCCCCAGCCGCTGGGATTTCTTCAATGTTACAAGTGTGGGCCTGGCATCTATACGTTTTTTTTAAATGTTAACTTCTTAGTTGTTGACCTTAAGGTTCCAAATTAGCTGTTGGGAATAAAAATGTCAAAACACCTTTTGTTAATTGTATTGATGAACAAAATAGTATTGAGCCTGTCTTAATGAGTGACTTGATATCCTAGATAGAACTACAAAATTAGGTAGAAATACTTAAGTTGGAACTGTTGTGACATTGTAACATCAATTATTGGTAAATAGTAAAAGACTGCTAATGTTCAGAAATAAAATACAAATTATGGTTTTTGATCCGGAAAAATGAAGTGTTGGGTAATTCAGGAATGCTTTTGATACCAAATGAGGTAAAGAATTTTGCTTCTCAAGGAAAACAAGCTTGTTTTGTGGGTCTTAGTTTTTGGGGGGAGACTGCTACAGGATTAACTAATGTCTTGTTATTTATTTATTTAAAATAGATCGAATGGAGCTGTTAGAAATAGCAAAAGCCAATGCAGCAAAAGCTTTGGGAACAACCAACTTTGACCTGCCAGCTAGTCTGAGAACTGTTCTCTCAGCTAAAGAAACAAGCCATGGAGCAGATGTACCAAGTAATGGTGTAAAGTCTGAGGTAAGTATTCTAAGTACCAGAAGATCTTTCTTTTTAAAGCTGCTTACTGCCAGAAAGATCTGAAAAGCCATTTTATTTATTTATTCTGGGCTACACTTCTTGGGAAGTCTAGCTATGTAAAATTTGCCAATATCAAAATAGATCCATGATGCTAGACAGTATCAACACTCATGAAATTGGGAGATAATGAATTTTATTCTGAATATATTGTTACTGGTACTTTGGAGATTTCTGACTGAGTAGTTTTCCCTACTCAGTCTTTATAGACGAGTGCCTTTATTTTTCTCCTGTAGCTTTCATTTGCAGGATTATGTTCCCGCATATCTGTGCTCAACATACAGTATAGTTTATCTGCTTTATTTCTGTCTTATAGAAATCATGAATGTGGTCTCCAGACAATGATGAAGAAAATCTGTTGGTAATTGATACATGGGCTAAAACATCAGAGGTTTAACTAAAGTTTATGTTCACACACTAAAAGCTTAGTTTTGTGTTGGTAGTTCCATATGCATGCTAGAATTTGTGACAGGTTCCATTTGCATAAGGTATTAAAGACAGTTTTTAAGTTAAGCAAAGGTACACTTTATAATGGTGGGGCATCTGTGGTATAGATGTCCCGTTCATAATATATGCAATATATTCCAGATGTTTTGAGAGATTGCAGAAGAGGAGTCCTGCTTCACTTGCAGATAAGTTTATTATAATTCTCCAGAAATATGCAGGAAGTGTGTTGGCAAATTACACTGTACTTCTAAGTTAAATGTGAAAATCAAAAGTTTAAAATTGATAAATGATATAAGGTAGAAATTGATAAAATAAATCTATCATTGGGATCCAGGTGTGGTTTTGTTCAGTGTTAGTAGACAAGTAAGGTCTTAGTTGAGTCATGTATTGATTAGGTACCCAACTAGCAAATGTCTTTAGTTCCTTGAAACTAGTTATTTCTGGTATGTCTTTACATTTAAAAGTTACTTGGATTTGTGGCAGGGAAAGAAAATATTGTTTGCAAAATGTGCCTTTTAATCTACTGCTGAATATTTGAGTTTGCTAAGTGGAAAGTTTTATCTTGTTTAGGCTGTTAACTATATGGTGTTAGATTCAACTTGATTTGTGTGTCCATTACAAAATTTGTAATATATACAACTAGGCTTTTTATACAGTTATTTAAAAAACCAAGGATGGGTTTTTTTGAAATGTCTTTCTCTTACCTGTCTAGCTGTCGGAAAGGTTAACAGAAGATGGAACTAAAAATCCCAGTGAAAAATCTTCCCAGCCGAAAAACATAGCTTTTAGCTCTAATGTAAGTATATTAATGCATTAGCTATCCAAAAATTCGGTTTAGAAAATTATTTGAAATAATGTAGACATTTATCATTTCTTTTAATCTTTGACTTAAGCCCTGCTAAGCTTAAGCCTCTTTGTAAACACAATCTATACCACTTTACAAGTGGGCATTATATGGGTACCTACCAATATCTTAACATGTACTTGGTTTCAGTATTTTTCTTTTTGAGTATTTCCTTTTATTAACTTATATGTGATGCTGAGAATCCAACCCAGTGCCTCACATGCTGGGCAAGCACTCTACCACTGAGCCACAACCCCCAGCCCGATTTTATTTTTTTAAAGGCTTTAAAAGCAAATCTCAAAAAAACCTGATGCTTGTGTAGGCCTGTCTCCCCAACCCCCATAGTTTCTTGGCTTTACAGTTTAAACCAAGTTACAAATTAGGTCCATGCTTTGTATTTGGTTAATAATGTCTAATAGAATTATTTAATGTGTAAAATGTGGAAGCTGGACTGGGGTATATAGATCATTTGGTACTTGCCTTGCATGCATAAAGCCTTGGATTTGATCCCCAGCACCACACCCACAAAATGTGGGTAGAAGCTGACTTAATTTATTGTCTTACAGAATTCTGTAGCAAAGCCAGTACAGAAGATAGCTAAAACTGCTGCTGAAGAGACCTCTTCAGGATCACCAAAAATAGATAAGAAAAAAAGTCCGTATGGACTATGGATACCTGTCTAAAAGAAGAAAACTAATGACTAAGGTTGCCTAAGTTGCACTTTATTTAAATTCCAAGTTTGTTTTTAGCATTACTCCACCCTTTGAGTAATTTAATAGTGGTATTTGTTAATTAAATCAATAAGAAAAGATACATATACTTCTTAGTTAAAAACATTAACGTTTTATGTTTCTCTTTAAGATATGAAAGCACAAATGGACCAGAGTTTACATACAGGTGGGAGTCTTTGTAAATACCTGTAAATATTGTATAATATCAGTTGGTTATACAGAAATTTGAAATTTGTAAGACAAACACAGTGATTGAACTGTGTTTGTTTTTGTATATTTGTTAATAAATTACTTATTTTTATTGTCTTTATTTTGTATTAATTCCTTAAGTCTTAAATGAAAGGGGGGGAGTATCTTTAAAATCAGCCTTGCTCATCAAGTCCATAAATTGACAATATATTGGGTTCATATGGGCCTCTTGTTGAGTTTGAGGAAAAGTGGAAGGAACCTCAAGTCTCCCTCAAAGCCTCTGAATTTTAACTGTATTCCCAATTCATGTAAATACATTCATTAAGGTTTGAGAAGCTGATATAAATTTTATGAAATGTGTAGTATACTATTGAGTTTCAGGGCAGGAAACTAAGTACAGTTGGCATTATTTGTGCATTTAAGAGGCCAAGTCATTTTAGAATTCCCCCCACCTTTTTGGTGCTGGAGATTGAACCCAAGGGCACTTTACTAACTGAGCGACATGCCTTCCCCCCAATCTGTCCCCCAATTTTGAGAAGGTCCAAGTTGTGGGAGTCTGTCTTTAACTCCTGCCTCAGCCTCCATAGTTAATGGGATTGTAGTCATGTGCTGTTCTGAACAAGCTGATTTTATGTGACCTTTGCAATAGTGACATAACATTTAAATTGAGTTAAAGATGCCAGGTTCAAACTGCTTAAGCAAGGGCAAGGAACTGGAACCTAGGCAAAAAGTAGAAATCCTTTTAAGAATTGGGTGTCATTGAAAAAAATTTATAAACATTTGTTCCCTTGGACCATACTATGTCTTGGTGTGTTTTCCCTTAATTTTTAGCGTAGGAACAGGCATAACGAAGAGTGACAGTAAATGGTGCAGGCTGTGCAAAAAAGACGTGTTCAAAAAGGAAATACTTTGACGTGGATTTCTCATGCCAAGCAATTTTTCTAATTTTTGGGTTTTAATGCAACTCTGAAGCTACATGAAGGTAGTATAGACCTTGTAAATTAGGGGTTCAGTCCTGCAAGATTACCTGCTCCCTTCTGGTGCTAATTGCAAGTGTTCCTCAGGTTCATTAATCCTGGTTTGATTATTCACCTACAAAGGTTCACCGAGTGTGGGGTGGGGTTGTGTGGCTGGAAACTTGGTGACTTAGAAAGGATACAAATGATGAGATTCAGGGAGTGAAGTCCAGAAGGGAGCATCTCTGGTGCTTTGGGATGTGTCACCTTCTTGGCACAGGGATGTTTACCCCAAACCCCAGTCTCTGAATATGGTAGGGGTTTTATGGAGGTTTTATTACCAATTAGTGATTGAATCATTAGCCATGGGGTGATTAACTGACCCCATCCCTTCCCAGAGGTGGGGAGGTAAGGCGGAACCCTGTAATTAATCATTTGGTTCCTTTGGCAACCAACCCTCCAAGCCACTAATTAGCATAAGCATGGTATAGTTAAAGGGGACGTATTGTAAATTAACATCACTTAACCTTTATCAATCAGGAAAGGTTTTAGGAACTGCCAAGAAAGGGATGAAGATCAAACGTTTCTAGTATCACACTCAGGCTGTGCTGTCCATTATTTGCACTTTCCAATAAATTATGTATTTAAAAATTCAGTTACTTTATTATATTAGCCAATTCTGAATCAGTGGCCAGGTAAAGTGCAGGTAATAGAATATTTATCAGTTGGTGTGGTGACACACCTGTAATTCCAGTAACCCCAGGGCCTGAGGTAGCTGGCAAGCCAGTTGGGGCAATTTAAGGAGCTACCATCCAAAAAAGCGGGTGATAATGGTAGTGCCCCTGGTTTCAATCCACAATATATATATTTTTTCTAATATTTATTTTTTTAGTTCTTGGCGGACACATCTTTGTTTGTATGTGGTGCTGAGGATCGAACCCAGGCTTCACGCATGCCAGGCGAGCGCGCTACCGCTTGAGCCACATCCCCAGCCCCGATCCACAATATTTTGACCAAATGTTTTAACTTCCTTTCTTCCAAGGATATTTGCCTTTTGGAAGATGGTAATTTTTTATAGGGCCATTAGAGGATGTCTTCTTTTCCCTGTTGGCTTCTATGAGAGAAGCATGTGTACTGTGGGATAGGCAGCACCTGTAATTGTGATTGCTTCCAAGAGAGAAGAGGACACAGGTGAATTTCCAGAAGCCATTGTTGGCTTCCTTGCATTATCTACTATCAATTTAGCATCCTACCTCAAGTCCAGATATATGACAAATTCAGCTCAACAATGACTTGCCTATTTATAATATAATTTTTAAGCCCAGCATGTTTCACCTTAAGCACAGATAACTTTTCTGTCTGGTGCAATGGTGCACATCTGACTGGCAGCTGAGGCAGAAGCATTGCAAGTTCAAGGTCTGCTTCAGCAACTTAGTGAGACCCCAAGCAACTTAGCCAAGACCCTGTCTCAAAAAATATAAAGGGCTTGGGGATGTCACTCAGTGGTTAAGTGCTCTTAGGTTCAATCCCCAGTGCCCTGCCAAAAAAAATTCCCAAACTTCTAATACAAGTGAATATAAGAAATACATAAGCATGTGTGCACGCCTTTAATCCCAGTGGCTTCGGATGCTGAGACAGGAGAATCACGAGTTCAAAGCCAGCCTCAGCTATTTCCAGTCATTTTGGTCTTGTTTTTCAATTCTGTAATAGACACAAAAACACATTTTAAAATATTTTTTGGTCTGAAGATTGAAAGCAATATCTTAGTAGAAAAATACTTAAAAAATGTTCATTGATTTTTCCTGAATTTAATTTTAATTTACAAGTTAACAGTACTGTTAGATGATATGAAGTTTGGGAATAGCCCAGATTCACATGAAATATAAGGCAGAACAATTATAGTGCACCAAAAACAAACAAAAAACCCCCACAAAAACAAAAACCAGAGACTGTACAGCACAAATAGATACTAATGTCTTTGAGGGTAGGTGGACAACTTCTATTTGATGTCTTTTCTACCAATTTTGGATCCAAAATTTCCTCATAAGGAAAGTGTGATTATTGTGTTTCATAGAATATTGATTTTTTTTTTTTCTGTGATAAAATACAATGAAGTCTTTTCAGGAAGAAGGTGTCAGGGGAAAAAAAAAAAAAGGTCGGGCTGGGCATACAGCTCAGTGGCTAACAGCCCTAGTTTGATCCCTAGCACTACAAAAGAAAATAAAAGTGAGAAAAACATTCTGTACTTCTAAATATGCTTGAGCCCAGCAAACAGCCCTTGGGGCCTATTTAACTCTTAGCCTTTCTATTTCTTCCCCTCCAGCTTTACCCCAGGCGATATCAATTACAACAAACAAAGGAAGTCACCTCCTATATTTCAAAAATGTCTTTAGTATAGGGAAAATTTAATGGATTCTAAAGTAACCCTCCCTAGATTGTTACTTCTATTACCTTCTTTTTTATCGCCCTTAGTTCTCTGCCCCTCCCCTTAGTTCTTTATGCAAAATAAAATGTATTCCTAGTAACCCTAATCCTATCACCTCTCTAAATGTAGCATACCAGGTACACAGTTCCACACTTCTTATTTCTCAGTGTATTTTTGAGATCTTTCTAAATATATGAAGAACTACTCCATTTGCCACATGGTGTTTCATTGTAGCATAATCTGACAGTTGTTTGTTTTCAATTTTTTTGCTATTGCCAAAAAACAAAAACCTGAAATGAATAACGTCATAGGTAAGTCCTCGCATACCTATGCAATTTTATCTGCAGGATGAATTCCCAGAAGAGCCATAGCTGAATCCAAGAGTAATTGTTTTGTTACTTATTGCCAAATTGATATTTTGTGATATTGTCTTCTAACTCTCAAGGGGTTGGACCAATTTTCAGTTTTACCACCAACGTATATATTTCTCAGTGGTTTTGAACTTCTAGGTTTTTGTTTTCCCCTACCGTGTTGGTAATCCAATCCAGGACTTCACACATGCAAGGCAAGTGCCCTCCACAGAGCTACACATTTTGCCACATCATTTTCCAGAACCAAAATTTAAAAACATCTCTCAAGATTCTGATGGGAGTAACATATTTTTAAACTCACTTTGGCGATTTTTTTTTGTGATAGTCTTCTAACTCGAGAAGATTATCCTTCATTTATTGAGATTTAACTTTGCCTACTTAGAATTATTTTATGTTACTGTTAGATATTTTTTTCATTTGGGAGATCACATTTTCATTTCTACATGTAATTAGCAGTTGTCAGGAAACAATAATTTTCATACATTTCACCTTATTGCTTCATCTTAACTTTAGCAATGTTATTAATTATACTCCATTGGGCATGTTAAGAGAACAAGACTGGACGGGCCCCAACAGTCAAAAAAAACTTAAAAGACTTGGGCTGGGGATGTGGCTCAAGCGGTAACGCGCACGCCTGGCATGCGCGGGGCGCTGGGTTCGATCCTCAGCAACATATTAAAATAAATAAAGATGTTGTGTCTACCGAAAACAAACAAAAATTCTCTTTTTCTCTCTCTCTCAAAAACTTAAGACTATGGAAGGGACTTTAAAACAAGTATCAATCATGTCTCTACTGAGACAAGGCAGTCAGGAAGAACTTGATGTTCTAGGGAACAGCACGTACGCTAGGAGATTTCCTACCAAGACCTCTCAGCCCTACCTTTCTATCCTTCCTCTTCTGAGGACTTTCCAATCCTTTTTTCCCCTGCGTCACTTCCTGCCCTCGTCTCTGCAGCCTTCTGCGGCTGCGCAGAACCTTGACCAATTTTAACAACTCGCTGTTAAAAGGGGCCGGGATTGGTCCCAAGTTCCTGAGGCCGCCCGGAAGGGGCGTGGCCTGTAGACAGGGCTTAGGAGGGCTGTCCAGAGGCTGACGGAAGTGCTCAGTGTTGTTGCCGGAAATAGGAAAAATAAGGCTGTAATGGCGGCTGCGGCTGAAGTCGAACAGGTAAGTGCTGTCGGCCTTACTTGGGAGGGTTTTGTTGGTGAGTTTCGGTGAGAGGTAGGGGTGAGTGATGGAGGCGGAGCCCTGGGCGTCGGGCCAGGAAGGCGCAGACTCCGCGGGGTCTGTCGCCAGTGGGGTCGTGGCCGGGCTGACGACTCGCCGGGACTTGGCCTGGAACCGAGCCCGGCCTGAAGCGGGATTCCTCACAGCAGGTGCCGGTGGACCGCGTTGAGGAGGGGCTCCGCACAGCGGCGGAGGAGCTGGCCGCCCAGAAGCGCGAACAGAGGCTGCGCAAATTCCGGGAGCTGCATCTGAAGCGAGTGAGTAGCCCGGGGCCCCTTTCCGACCTGCCCCCGTCCGGCCCCGCACTCGTTAGACCGCGGAGCTGGATCTTCCCCGTGGCGGCTCCTGACCCTAAAGCGCGTCGAGATCAGATCGCTCGCTCCCCGTCCCGCCCACTGGATTTAACTTGCCTGGGCTGAGTTGGGGAGCCTGGTACTCGTGGCCTCCCTGCTCTGTGGCTTTAACAAGCGCTGCATTTTACTTAAGGAAATATGTAGTTAGAAATTGGAAGAAACCTGTGTCGTGTCATTAAGAGCTTTTTAATATGACTAACAATCAACAAACCGCTGAAACTCTGTAGTGTGGTGGTTCAGCTAGATGAAGGCCTCTTCTGAAGTAGAGAACCAACCTTATTTATTTATTTATTTAAGGACAAAACCTTATAACCAGAAATTATACTGCAGTAAATGCAGTTTTGAGGTAGGAATAAAGTGCCTTGGGAGTGCAGAGGAGAGATTAGTGTAGCTTTAGGGGCTCCAGTGAGGTGACACTAAACCACTGTTTGAAAGAATAGGACATCGGACAAGTAAAGGGGATGGAGGAAGAGACACTCAGTGGAGGGAGCACATGCAAAGGAGGAGAATTCATATTAGGGATAAGAGTCCAGCAAACAGCTGGCTACAGTTGGAACTGGGAAAGGAAAAAATCCCCTGACTTTGATCTTGGAGTGGCCTGCCTGACAGCTAGGCCATGTTTCCACAAAACCTCGGCATCACTCCAGATATTGTAGTGAGACAAAATCAAGAAGACTGTTTAGGTCATAAAAGTGACCAAACACCACTCACTGTATTACCATACATATATATACTATATATACATACATTACCATATATATATATATATATATATATATATATATATATATATATATATATATACTATAGTCTTACTCTGTTCCTCCTGTCTCCTATCTAAAAATTGAAGCTACTTCATCCTAGAATGCCCCTGCCTTTGACAATGCCCAAATCAAAGCCTTGAATTTGAACTGTAGTCATCTGATACAAACTCATATTTTGTAACTGTCTCTTTTAACATTTTCTTACTGAAAAGTTCCCCTTGGTTTGTGCTCTCCTTCAATGCAACAAATGCAACTTTGTTTGATGGCAAACCAGAGGGCATTGCCAGAGCTAAGAGTGTGTGAGGGGTGGAAATTGAGACCAGTGTCTCTCTTGGCACTTGTTCTATTTTGGTGGTGTTGGGGATTGAACCCAGGGCCTTGTGTACACTAGGCAAGTGTCCTACTACTCAACTGCGCTGCCAGCCCCAGGAGTATCTCTCTCTGTCCAGAAAAGTTGATTTGATAAACACATAAACATGCTTAAGTATTTACTTTGGATTGATTAATGAAAGCTTATCTGGAATCTATAGGAAATACGGCTTTCTGGACTACCTGCCACCATCCCGTGACCTAAGAAACATCCAACTTCAGTTTTGTATAAGAAAATGTACTTATTTTGTTTTATGCGTTTATTTTTGTTTTAAAAATCGATTCTTCACTAGTACTTCAAATGGGAAGTTCCTTTTATTGCTTTCAATGTAAATAAACTTTTAAAATGTTTCAAAAGTAGGGGAGTCTTAGAAATGATTAGGATATTAAGAGAGGTATTAAAGTTCTTAAGCCCCAAATTAAGTCTTTTTCTTTGAACTGATCAGAATTTCGAGGTTTAAAAGTAGAATATTTTCCAGTGCTCCTGTGGTATAGGTCTCCCACTTTGTAAAACCTTGTTCTGATCCAACTTAAGGGACCACAGGGCTAAACAGGGGCAAATCTGATATTAACTTCTAGGCTCTGGAATGGAAAACCAGTGCAGCCCGATGCATTTTTCTTGATGATATGCCTCACTAGGCTGCTGTTCCCTTGCTTAAGATCATTTGGTGGCTGTTGTGGTTTGGATTTGAAAATGTCACCCAAAGAGCTCATTTGTTAGGCAATATAGCAATACTCTGAGGTAAGAAGGTTGGGTTATAAAAGCTGTGACCTCATCAGTGGATTAATCATTTGATGGGTTAATCATTTGAATGGACTGCAGAGTGGTAAGTATAGGGGGCGGATATACCCTTAGAGGATTTGTCTTGTCTCTAGCTTCTTTCTCTCGCCTTCCTGAGTGCCGTGAACTGAGCAGATTTCCTCCTTCACACCCTTCTGCCCCTTTCCTTGGGCCCAGAGCCCTGGAGTGACTGCCATGGACTGACCCTCAGAAATTGAGCCCCAAGTAAACTTCCTCTCTTGAGTCGTTCTTGTCAGGTCTTTTGGTCACAGCAACAAAAAGCTGACTAACGTGTAATGGCTGACTGTTGCACCTGGGGTAGAAAGGGAGTGTCAACGTGTCTTTCCTGAATTTCCTCAAAAAAGGCAAGATCTATTTGGATTTCTTTTCATATATATTTTTTAAGATTAGTTGTTGATGGACAAAATACCTTTATTTTATTTATATTTTTGTGGTGCTAAGGATTGAACCCAGTGCCTCTACCGCTGAGCTACAACTTTAGGGCCTTCTTTTCGTATTTCTGATAAACATTTTTTATGGTTTTAGAATGAAGCTCGTAAATTGAATCACCAGGAAGTTGTGGAAGAAGATAAAAGACTTAAGTTGCCTGCAAACTGGGAAGCCAAAAAGGCTCGTTTAGAATGGGAACTGCAGGAAGAAGAAAAGAAAAAGGTCAGAAACTACTCCGCTGTCTTCATGAGCTCCGTCTTCCATCATTCTCTTGCATTGAGACAGGAACATCGTCATTGATAGTCTGGCTCCGCAGCCAATGTTTTGGAATTGAAAGCTTAGCTCTGCTCTTCTGTGGCTGCCACACTTTGGGCGAGTTATTTAACCTTGAGTTAATTATAAATTAAATGAGTTAACGTATGCAAAACGTTCAAGATAGGGTCTGATACCTGTTTAAACACTAAAAGGTATCATATGCTCCCTTATATACCACATCAAATTCCTAGATTTCTTTCATATAGCAGTCATTTTTAAAAAAGTATTGCTTAATGTCTTTTTTCTGTTGGTCATCTGTGGACGCCCTTTTTTTTTTTTTTTTTTTTTTTGGGTACTGGGAATTGAACCCAGGAGCCTTTAGCCACTGAGCCATATTCCCAGCCCTTTTTTTATATCGTATTTAGAGAGAGGGCCTTGCTGAGTTGCTTAGGGCCTCACTAATTGCTGAGGCTGGCTTTGAGCTCATGATCTTCCTGCCTCAGCCTCCCATCCTGCTGGGATTCAGGCATATGCCACTGTGTCCATCTTGTGGACACCTTTCCACACTGAGGGACAGGAACTTCCTTCCTAGCTTAATGTCTTTATTCAAACTTTGCTGATTTAGATTAAGTAATTGCTTGAATTATAATTGAGGGAACCAGTTTGTTCTTCTTTTTAGGAGTGTGCAGCAAGAGGGGAAGACTATGAGAAGGTGAAGTTGCTGGAGATCAGTGCAGAAGATGCAGAAAGGTGGGAGAGGAAAAAGAAAAGGAAAAATCCTGACCTGGGATTTTCAGGTAAAATTGACCTTTCCTGAATAAGCCTGTCAGACAGCATTGGCCTCAGCCTTCTGCTTTACTGAGCGGAGGCTCGAGCTTCCTCCCTCCGTGGAATGTTTGCTGAGAGGCCTAAACCCTAGGGAAAGGCACATGCATCTTAGAGGATGGAGCTAAAAAAGGCTCTGCGCCTTCAGCCTGGTTCTTCTTTGTGATGTCTATACCGGCATATTCCGGATAAGGGACCATGGATTAGTGTCTGTGCACATGTTACTTAATGACAATTTGATTTTTTTCTGAATAGTAACGGCCAAACAAGGACACATGTCATCTCTGATTCTCATTTCATTTTTAGATTATGCTGCTGCCCAGTTACGCCAATATCATCGGTTGACAAAGCAAATCAAACCTGACATGGAAACCTATGAGCGACTGAGGGAAAAACAGTAAGTCCATAGGTTTTATGATGTTGTTTTCTCATCTTGGGGGCTGCGTGTATTTATGTGGTTATATGTGCACACACCTACACATACAAGGGTGTAAATACTGGCACACTTTATGCTGAGCTGTGGGTTATTAGCAGCTCCTAGGAATGGTCTCTGTTTTTTTCAGCACTATTTATGATTCAGTTGATAGCAGTTAAGCCTCGTCATCCACACCGCCCCCCCCCCCCCCCCCACACACACACTGTGGCTAGAACCCAGGCGAGCCGTACCACTAAGCTGCGTCCCTATTCTTTTTTTTGGAGACAGGATTTCACTAAGTTGCCGAGGCTGGCCTTGAACTTGCAATCCTGCCTCTGCCTTCCCAGTCTCTGAGGTTGTGGTATGTGCCACCCACACTCACATGGCCTGGCTGTTGTTCACTTTGTTGCAGTTAAACTAACCACTTGTTTCTCTTTCAAGCTGGCATTCTGAGTGTTGATAGCTAAGACCCAGATTAGCACAGGTAGATATTATTTATGAGGCAGAAAGCTTTAGTGCTGGGGTGGGTGAATTTTTTTTTTTTTTTTGGTTTGAAGGATTAAACCCAGGGGATCTGTACTACTGAGCTATATCCTCAACCATTTTTATTTTGAGTCAGGATTTCACTAAGTTGCTCAGAGTCTCAGTAAGTTTCTGAGGCTAGCCTCAAATTTGCGATCCTCCTGCTTCAGCCTCCTGAGTCTCTGGAGTTACAAATATGAGTTACCATACCCCAGGTGGGGTGTTTTTGTTGTTGTTGTTTTTGTTTTTTTAAATAAAGGACCAGATAGTAGATATTTGGAGCTTTTCGGGCCATGTGGTCTCGTTCATAGCTGCTCACCTGTGCAAGTGCAGTGTGAAAGCAGCCATAGAGATCCGTGAATGACTGAATGTGTCCCAGTAGAACTGTTTTCAAAAACATGTGATGACTGTAGCTTGAAGGCTACTGCTTTAGTGGAAAGAGATCCAGAGTTCAGAGCTCTAATCCCAACTCTGCAGCCTTTGATGAGCCCTTTCACGCGGGGCCATTGCCTTGTGCATCTGAAGGATGAAGGTGTTGGAGTAGATGATTTCTTAGGTCCTTTCTAATTCTGTATCTTTTTTTTTTTAAATTTAAAAGTAGAATGCCACAGTAAGTGTATGTATATATCTTGTCACACCGAGAGATCGTGAGTGGTAATTTAGTTCGAAATTTGAAAGTGAAAATCTGTGGTGTTGTTTTAAGTCCATTTTGCTGTCTTTTCAGTGGAGAAGAGTTTTTCCCGACGTCCAACAGCCTCCTTCATGGGACACACGTGCCTTCCACAGAGGAGATTGACAGGATGGTCATGGACCTGGAGAAACAGTGAGTCCTCAGAGCAGCCTGCCTATTTGCTGCTGAATGACAGGGTGGGCTTGGCGTGTGTCTCAGGCCGTTGTGCTTCGAGAGAGTTAAATAGGCAGAAACGACACTTGCTCTTGTCTGGCCTTGGATCCTCAGTGGTTTTGAGGATGGGCAGCCATGTGGATTCAGTCCCCAGGATCCGGAATAGAGATGCGCATGTTGATGGAATCTGACCATCATGTGTCGGCTCTCCATCTCTGGGACAAAAAGTTGAGACAAGTTACAAGGAGGAAAGGTTTATTTTGGCTCACGTTTCCGAGGTTTTAGTCCATGGTTGCTGGCCTGTTGCTCTGGGTTGTGGCAGCTGGTGATGATGGAGGCCCACATGATGATGGAGGCCCACATGATGATGGAGGCCCACATGATGCAGGAGCCTCTTCACCTCATGGGGGAGGCAGCGAGGTGCGAGTGAGAAGGAAAGGGCTGGGATCTTGGTATCCCTTTAAGGGCACACCAAGTGACCTGACTTTTCCAGCTAAGCCCCCTGCTTGTGAGAGATTCCACCTCCTCCCAGAAGCACTGTAGGCGAGTGCCAGGCTTTCCCTATGAGGGGCTTCGGGGACGTTCCAGGCCTACCCTACAGCAGTTAGAGTCAGAGGAGGAAGAGCTAAAGAAAATGATTTCAAGAGATTTCACTGTAACACCCACTGCACTATATGTTGGAAGAAACGAGAGCGTCCTGTGAGTGTGCCGCAGTTCTATTTGTTTCTTTTACTTTGTTTTTGAATATTTTTAGCTGTAGTTGGACACAGTACCTTTATTTATTTATTTCTGTGTGCTGCTGAGGATCAAACCCAGGGCCTCGTATGTGTGAGGCAAGTGCTCTACCGTGGAGCCCAGCCTGGCCCAATTTCCTTTTTTTTTTTAATACGGGGGATTGAATCCAGCGGCGCGTAGCCACTTACCTGTGTTTCTTAACACTGATAGAAATGAATACCAGGTAGAGCAGAGTACATTTTAACTTTAGGAACTGTATATGTAAAGTGTTATTGTTGTGTCTGGCACATAGCAATGCACCGGGTTAACCAGGGTCATTGTTACTAACATAAATAATATTATAATAATTACCTTATTTTAAGTCATAAGGTATTTGTTCAGTTCCTAACCCTGGGTCATTGCTCATTTAGACGGAGTCTAAGGAGGAGTTTGTATTAATGAATTTCATGGTTCCTACCTGAGGTTGTGCTGCTGGTTAGCAATTTCAGCTTAAAGTTGGTGGAGACTGACCTGCTCCTGACCGGCGCCCTGGGCACTGAGCATCCTGGGCACTGAGCGCCCTGGGCACTGAGCATCCTGGGCACTGAGCGCTGGTTCTGCTCTTCACTGTCTGCCTGTGGGGGCGGGCAGCAGAGCCCCTTCCGTGAATGTGCCTGCCTTTCGTTACTCAGATCAAAACAGAAGGTGGTTTTGAACTTTAAAAATGTTTTTTTCCCCAGAATTGAAAAACGAGACAAATATAGCCGGAGACGTCCCTACAACGATGACGCGGACATCGACTACATCAACGAGAGGAACGCCAAGTTCAACAAGAAGGCCGAGCGGTTCTATGGGAAGTACACGGCCGAGACCAAGCAGAACCTGGAAAGAGGGACGGCTGTCTGATCCCTTCAGGAACTGCATTGGACGGTGGAGGACGGAGTGAGAAATGGAAAGTCTCTTCCCAGCTGTCCCAGTAAACCAGAGCTCGGCCTCCGCCTCCCCACTCAGCCTCTGCCTCCCCACTCAGCATTCCACAATAAACGTCTTTCTTCCCCGTGCACTTCCACGTAGACTTCACGTTTTTGTGCTTGGATCTGAGATGTATTTCTTGTAGTGAAGTTGTTTTGTAAAAATCTACTTTGTATAAATCCTAATTATATTATTTTTCTATGTATCTTAAACGTGTATGATGGTCTAATCTTTGAAGGATTTTGAGCTCGATGCTGGCAGCGCCCAGGTGCAGTCCGTGGTGTGAATATCATGGTGGATTTGACAGGATCTAGAGCTGGGCTGTGGGGCCACTGGGGCTGAGAACTCTGAAGCTGAGGACAGTGCAGGTGGCAGTCAGCTCGGGAGGGCTGGTGTGGCCCACCCAGGGCTGCCCAGGACCAAGTGCAGGGACAGCGCTGTCCTCCTGCGAGTGTCAACCATGTGTAGTTAGTTCCCTTTTAAAAGAACGATTAACTGCTGTGGAATAGAATTCCTCCTTTATCATGTAAAACAAATACCTGCCTATGTGCACTAGGGTGTGTGGTAACACACGTGCACTCCCTCCCACAAACGCCGGCCACTTCTGTTAGTAGCGGGCACTTCAGAGTTTAGAAAGGAGAGCGTCGCCCAGGGCGGAGTGCTTGCTGAGGCCTGCAGGTCCCGGAGGCTCAGAGGGAAAGGGGAGCTGTGCGTCCAAACGCCTGGGCCGGGCCAGCACCCACTCTGGGCCAGTCTTGCCCATCGTGCCTTCTGTGGAAGCTTCTCTGGAGCTCCCCTGTCGTTTTAAGGTGGTCCCAGATGCGTCAGTGGGAGCTTTGCAGCATGTGTCCCTGAAAGAACTGGCAGCACAGCAACCACTCCATCTTCACCCGAGCCAGACAGTGTTGTTTGTATGTTGATCACAACACTAAATTGCTAATGAGGATATTCTGAATTCAGTCCGAAACAAATCTTTATCAATGCTTCGGCTTTAGAGTTCAAAGTCGGTTTCACACTCAAGGCCCTTGCGAGCCCCTCCCTGCTCAATTGTGCATTTGCTGCCTGGGGTCTTCTTTCTCCGCCGACGGCAGGTCTGTTGGGCTTTGATGCTTCTGAAAATGTATTGATTATGTCTCAATCTTTCTGTTCCCATTTCTACTACCTTAGTTCAAGTCCTTTGATCCTGAATATTAGAGAAGCCCTAAAAAGCTTTCAAGAGGGGCTGGGGTGTGGGCTCAGCGATAGAGCGCTCACCTAGCGTGTGCGAGGTGCTGGGTTCAATCCTGAGCACCACATAAGAATAAATAAAATAAAATAAATAAAGGTATTTAAAAAAAAGCTTTCAAAATATTGTCAAATAGAACATGGTATGTATTTAAATGAACAGTTCAAAGACGGGTGTGGTGGTGCGAGCTGGAAATCCCAGCTACTCAGGAGGCCAAGGCAGGAGGATCCAAAGTTTGAGGGCAGCTTTTATTAAAAATAAATACATAAATAAAAATAATAATAATAAAAGGCCTGGGGATGTGGCTCAGTCACAGAGTACCCCAGGTTCGATCTGCAGTACCAGAAAACAACCAGTTCACCATGACTCAGGTTCATTCCAAGAACACAAGACTAGCTCATAGAGCACATCAGTATCCTGCCCAGTGTTATTTCTCCTTTATCACCAACAGAGCCCTGAAACTTTGTGAATTTGAGGTAATATTTCCAGTTAAACACTTGCTTTCCCAGACTGACTTGTTGTGGTAGGTGTTAATATGTCATTAGTTCTGGCTAATAAATGAAATTTTATTTTGAGAAATCTTTTGCTTTCCTGATTTTTTTTTTTTTTTAATTTTCTTGATTTGGGAAAGCTGGTTCCTGCTTTCCTCTTCCTTCTTTCCCATTTCTTCTTCCTGCTTGGATCACATACATGAGGCCTGGAGTTGTGGCAGCCATTTTGTGCCATGAAGTAATAAGCATAAACACAAGAATGTGCAGAGGAGGATGAGATGGTCCATGTTTGCATTGCTCAGCTTCTGCTCTAGCCTTAAACATCTACCTTCACTTTCCTATGTACACTTTGGTGTGTGGTAACACACACATGCACTCCCTCCCACAAATGCTGGCCACTTCTGTTAGTAGCGGACACTTCAGAGTTTAGAAAGGGGAGCGGCGCCCAGGGCGGAGCGCTTGTGGAGGCCTGCAGACCCTGGGCGCCCTCCCTTGCGGCTCAGAGGGAAATTACTGTTACTGTTGAATAAATTTATGACCTCTGCATGGTTTAATTTCAGGATTGATGTCAGCACATTAAATGATTAAATGCAAATACCCATAGTTTTTTTCTCTAGAAATAAGTGACTACAAAAGAGACCAAGGAAATAGTCTAGTTATGCTATTAACAAAAATCATATTTAGTATAAACTTAAAGAGAAAAACATAGGATTAATGTGAAGAAAATTATAAAATCTAATTGAAGCCAGGCGCGGTGGCGCATACCTGTAATCCCAGCGGCTCGGGAGGCTGAGGCAGGAGGATCGCAAGTTCAAAGCCAGCCTCAGCAAAAGCAAGGCACTAAGCAACTCAGTGAGACCCTGTGTCTAAACAAAATGCAAAATAGGGCTGGGGACGTGGCTCAAGTGGTTGAGTGCCCCTGAGTTCAATCCCCAGTATCAAAGGAAAAAAAAAAAAATAAACAGGAGACTTCTGCTTCTAACCCAAATGGAGAAACAGATTTCCTTTCCTGCAACAACAAAAGATAGCTTACGTGAAACAAGAGTTTTCAAAATACCAGAAACGAGACAGAAGGACAGTGATTCCCGAGGAGAGCCGCAGCTTCTTTGGAGAGCTTCCAGGCTGTGGCACACAGAAGCCGGTGGAGTCCCCTAGTTGAGATAGAGCTAGAAAGTCTAGGAAGACCAGGGTGGTGACAGCTAAGTGCAGGCCAGCTGCAGGGGGGCAATGCAGAGAACCCACAGAAGGCCCCTACGTGTAGGTAGAGTATGGATCTGCTGTGTATAAAAGGAGTTTTCTCTCCTGAGAAAGAACCACCTGAAAGGATCAGAGGGATTAGAACTTGGCATTTGTGAGGGGCCAGGAATAGTGTTTTTTCCATCAGGCGAAATAAAAAATTTCATAATTCAATGGGTGTGTTAGGCCAATTCCATTACTATAACAAGATACCTGAGACAATCAGCTTATAAAGAGGAGAGGTTTATTTTGGTCCACAGTTTGGAGGTTTCAGTACATGGTTGTCGACCCATCGCTTTTGGGCTCATGGTGGCTGGACAGTGCAGGAGAGGAAGAGGAAGACACCAGGGTTCCACAAACATCTTGTAGGGCACATTCCCCATGACCTAGGGTCCTAGTAGGTCCTACCTCTTGGCGGTTCCACCCAGTCCCACCAGGGGCAGCAGACAGGCCTTTCACACGCGGGCTTATGGGGACACGTATCCAATCCGTAGCAACGTGGCATGGAGTGACTAGTGAGAGGTTCCTGCCTCAGTCTGGAGAATAATGAACCCGGTGAACTCTGCTTGGGTCTTGTCAGACAGATCTTAACAGACACACCGGGAGGAATCAAACCCTTCCCACGCAAGTCAGTGCACTCCAGAACAAGGACCAGAGGACACTGAGAAACCCAGAGACGGTCAGTATGTGATAGCACGAAATCCTCCACGCTCAAACAGGGAAGAGGAAGCATAAAGAGAAGAAAAATAACCCTTCAATTTAAACTAACCAGAACTGACACAGACGTTAGAACCCATTGACAGGAATCCAAAATTATAACTGTATCCGACGTGATCGAGGGGTTGAGGAGTCGGGCACAGTGGGTCACACCTGCAATCCCAGTGACTTGGGAGGCCGAGGCAGGAGGATCGCAAATTGAAGACCAGCCTCAGCAACTTAAAAAGGTCCCAAGCAACTTAGCAAGAACCTGTTGTCAAAGTAAAAAAAAAAAAAAAATAATAATAATAGAGTCAGGGATGTAGTCAAAACGCCTCTTAGCAATCCCCAGTTAAAAAAAAAAAAAAAAAAAATATATATATATATATATATGAAAGACCCACATTGAACTTCTAGATGAGGCAGTCCCAGTGTGTGAGATGGAAAAACCTACTGCCCGCTGGACAGACCCAAGCAGGTGACACACACGCCACAGGGCAAGGCCGGTGGGAGGACGAGGCCGGTGGAGAGACAGAGACAGGAACCACCTAAAACTAAACAGGAGGCAGAATGGAAACCCAGACGGGGGCGGTGGGGCTCCACACAGAAGCGGGGCTTCGCTCTTGCTTGGCTTGACCTTGGCGTCTCTGTGGAGGGACAGTCCACGGCGTCTGGCCAGGCGGAAGGGCCTCCGTCCCCCAGCTGTGGAGCTGGCCGGGGAGCCCAGGGGCTGGGCCTCTGGGGGACTCTCCCAGGACCCGGGTGAGACGCGCTGGTCCTGCTGACCTCATGGGCTGCTGGCGGTGCCCGGGTCACTCCACGGCCAGCACCGGGAGCCGTGCGTGTAGGCAGTTCCTGTGGTCACCGCTGTGTCCCCAGGAGGACTCCGTCCTACCCCGTCCTTCTGCTGGGTGACAGCTAGTAAAAGCACAGACGCAGGTGCCCCGTGGCCAGGATGCCAACAGAGCTTCCATTGCCTGGGGAGGGGCTCGCACCACACCCCAGAGTGGCCACAGGTCCAGCTGCAAGTCAAGGTCAAGGTGCTGGCCCGAGGGTCAGCGAGGCCTCCCTGTCCATCCAGAAGGTGGCTGCCTCCTCTCCGTGTCCCGGGTCCTCATGTGGCTTTTCTCAGTGCTTTTGAACCCCTGGTGACTCTTGGTCCTCCTGTAAGGACACTGGCTCTGCTGGTCAGGGCCCCACCCATGACCTCCCTCACCCTCTCTGAGCCTCCACCTTATGGGAAGGCTCTGTTTCCTGGTGCGGTCACGTGGGGGGTTAAGGTGGCACAGGACTTTGGGGAGGACACAGATCAGTCCCCATCATCACTCAGCCGCTCGGTGCCTCAGTTTCCCCAGAGCGTCCGGTGCTTAGACCCGTGCCTGGCCATCGTGGGCACGGGGAGAATTACAACTGGTCAGATGTCCGTATCAGCCCCACGAACCCTTCCTATCCTGGGCCTGCGTCCTCCTCCCCTCCAGACCAAGGTCACTCCAAACTGAATTTCACTGAGCCACACCCCAGGCCACTTCGACTTTCTATTTTGAGACAGGGTCTCCCTAAGTCG